CAATTAAATATCATTAAATGAACCCAAAATATGGAAAATTAGCCACAACAACGACTAAACTATTGACAATAACGACAAACAAAATTTTTTCACATTTTTTCCATTGAAAAAAGCTACAACCCATGGCCGAAATGTCGGGCAGATTACATCGTAGTCGTTGCAGTGTTTAAGACTGAGAAAGCCGTTAATCAAAGTGAAATTTTAGTTTTGGAACTATGATCGGAAAATTCCGGAAGAATGGAGCTGAAAAAACACCCAAAGAAAGACGAAAGAAGCTCTCTTGGATGAAGTTCGAGAAAAGCTGGAAAAACATCCAGGAACTTCCAAGACACGAATTGAGAAACTTGTGGCGAAAATTTAAATAAACTATCGGAAAAATCGGTTGTTACATACATCCAAAGAAAGCCAGAAAAGTTTCGGAAACCGAAGTAAATTTCCAGAAGTAGACATTTCTAGGAAAAGCCAGAAGAAGATCGGAAAAACTTTCAAAAGAAGTCGAACAAAAAAAACCATTGGCTTATGGTCAAACTTCCAGAAGAAAACGAAAGAAACTTCTGGGAGAATTAATTGAACTTCCTGGAGAAGACGAAAGAAATTTCCTGGAGTGGCTGGTAGAAACTTTCCAAGGTAGATTGCAAGAAACATCTGAAGAAAATCGGAAGCCAGAGAGCTTACGGAACAGTCGAAAGAAACAAGGTCATAATTCCGGAAGAAAGAGATTCCCGGGGGATGTTCTAATGATCCAGAAAATTTACTGATTTTCGTAATTTCCTTGAATTTTTCGGAACATTCCTGAAATGCACTTAGGAATATTCCATAATTCCTCGAGATTCCTTAAAAGTTCTTGTAAGTTTCCTGAAATTAGGGGCTGTTTTGGAGTTCTCTGGTCATCCTCGAAGCGCTTGGAATTTTCCTGATTTTAATGAGAATACCGCAATATCTCTAATTACCTTTGAAGGTCTCTTTATTTTCTTGAAAATTACGAAATCTCTATAGTGCTCTCACATTTTTTTTAATTTATTGTGACATCAGCATTGAAGTTCTCTGATCTGCCGATTTTTTTTAATTTTTAAAAGTTATCGACACTGCCATTAAAAAAGCATAGAACTTCCGATAAAATGTTCTCACAATGTTCTAATGTTCATGTAACTTCCCTTACGTTTCCTTAATTTACATGAACCCTTCAGGACATTGCTGAAATTTTCGGGAATTGCCTGAGTTTCTTGGAACTCCTTTATAATTTCAGCAATTTCATTGAGATTTGTTTGTCTGTCCTGATGTTCTCTGAGCTTCACTAAAGTTCCTGAAAACCATTAAATTTTCCTGAAATTCTTTGAACTTTTGAAGTTTTCAAAATATTTATGATGTTTCCTTAAGTTCACTGGAGTTCGCTGGACTTTTTTAAAATTTCCGGGATTTTGAATTTTAACAGAAGTTTATAAAACTGTCTTTAATTTATCGAAACTCACACAAAAGTCTGGACTTCACTGAAGCTTCTGAACTTCTTAAATGTTCCTTCAGCTAGTGTGGATCCGCAATAAAAATCTGATAGCATCCTTGAAGTTCCGGGAAAGTTGAAAAAACTGACGAGAGAAGATTAAAGAATCATTCGAAGAATCTGAAGAATCTTCCAATGTATGGTGAAAGAAAATTCCAGGGAAAGTTGGATGAAGCTCCACGAAGTTAAAAACTGAATAAAAACATCCGAAAGTTAAATAAAGTTTAAAACATATTTCGACTTTTTCTCGATTGATGGGTAGCCAATCAAAAGGAGGAAATGCAATCATTAGTCGAAATAGTATCAAGCATAAGGCATCTTTAGAGATGATTTTTTTTTAAATTTTGAAGGCTAAAAAATATGAGGTATTTAAAAAAATACAAGTCGGTCACAAAAAATTTCATCGCAATAACAGGCCAGCGCAGCGGCGAGTAGTTGGCGGAACTGATAATATTAGAATCAACCGTTAAATGTGTGAACGAAGATACATAATGAAGTGGTTCGTCTGTTTGTCTGTGGTTCCAGGATGAGCCGCAGAAAGAGCAGATCTTATGGCTTTTATGGCTCGCATAATCCAAAAGTGATAGGAACATGTTCGTTCTGTCGATCCAAATCAACCGGAAATATGGAAAGATAGAGTTGTAACAATCGATTAATTTTGAGATTTATGACAAATGAGTTTACGTCTCAAAGAGAAAAGTTTTTAAAAATCACATTAAATTTATGAATAAACCCATTACTACTACATTCCACATAAGGTAGAACAGTATTAAAACCTCAATATGTATGGTAATTACAAACCCTTAATAGTATATCATGAAGTTAATAGCAATTGTTGGTTCTAAGCAATAATACCTTTATAGAACGTTAATGGAAATAGGTTTCACAAATTCAACTTGAATCTTTTCTGTTTTGGTCAGGCTATAGTCGCGTTATAAAAAAAACTTCAAGGGACAGCTCTATTGAGTGTGTAGGTGACGTAGGACTACGTGGTCTTATATAATAAATCATATTTATTAACTGCAGCAGGAGCTTGTGTTTTGTGTAGGAATACAATTTGAGCAGGGTTCTCTCAGTTTATACTTTATAGTATAGTAGTATCTATGTCAAGATAGCCCACAGCGACTCACGAAGAACTACTGATTCCGATCTATAGCGGTGCGGCTTCTTCTTCCTTCTATCGATGCTCAGTTGGGCTGTAGCTCGCTGCTTGCAGCCAGTTTTTCGTTGTGTACTGGAGAACAATGTTCAACGCCACTTGCCGAAAGCACTGCTGCTGCTGCTGCTGCTACTGATGCCGACAACCGGACACCACCACACGCGGTGATTGGAACTGAATCCGATCAACGGTTGAGGCCAGCCTTGATAGCTAGCTACTTGCGGGGACCCTTTCGTTGTGTACCGGAGAACACCACCACTCACCACTCGGTGATTGGATTGCACAGTTTGGTGAGACCGGATGAAATTCAACTTTGAAATCTGTGTTTGGGAATTCACTTTTCGCAGACAATCGGTGATAATTTTATTTATCATAGCAACAGTTGCACATTCGTGCATTTTTCAATAGCGACAATTTGAAAAATGATAAAGTCTTAAATTAAACAGATGCCTAGGAATATTTCTTATTGATTGGTGATTAAATTATTGAAATTGGTCCAGGGACAGCTGAGTTATTAACGTTCAAAATCTTTCATAATTTTGTTACATGTTCCATTTTCGGTTTTTACAAAGTGTACCCCCATATAGAAATCACAGACGTAGTCCTACGTTAAAATGTATGGGAAAAGAGAGAATTCGTATGGTAATCGTTCTTAACCACCCATTGTTTGTATGGTCACGTCTTTGAAAACCTTAATCAACGTGGTCGAAACTTTATCGAGCTGTGGTTCGATTAAGATCGATCAAACTATACCCATTATGGTTTTCAGAAGAAGATAATCCTTTTGCCATGTGGTCAGCGTATGGTTGTGATTTATGTAGGCCGTAGATACGCTATAAAATTGTTGGAAGCGTTCTTGTCGCACTGTAGGTGGATTAACTCAAATTCTTTTTGGTTTCATTCCCGTTCAAGTATCAACCTCAAGGTTTTTTTTTACCCCGTCGTGTGTGTAGCAGAAAAAAACACGGAACGTCAACACTGCCATCGCGGGAACAATCAGCCGAAGAGAGCATTTTTCCCACAGGACGTGAGGGTGAATTCCATTCTTCTTCATGTATGCAATGCAGGATCGCGCATAAAAATCCTTCTTATGTAACATAATCTTCGCTGAAATCTTAATCGAAATGTTTCTCCTCATCCCAACCAGCATCACTTATCCCGGATGAGCTTGTGTATTCCCAATGTGTGTACCAACAGCGCTACTTTCCTACTGTTGAAAGTACTACATCTTTCTTTTTCTGCAATGTTTACTTACACATATCCTGTGTCACACTGCGCCAGGGCCATAGAGATGTTCAAATCTTCCTTGAAGGCGTTTTCTGTTAAATCCTTGCTGATGCTTCGACATTGTCTTCGCTATAAAATTCATGAAAATGCCACCACTCGTCACCACTAAAGGCGGCAACTGCAGTTCGGACGTGCACGGAGCTGAATAAAATTCCCCAAAAGTGAAAGGGTAAACGAAGACATCATTTCTCATTTCACCGCCCATCCTCGGTGCCATTTTTCTTTTTGGCTGAAATCTTTTTGTGTGCGTCGTCGTCCTCCTGTTGTCCCATATCCGGGCTAGTTTTGTCTCCGACGTACAATTTTGTTGCGTCTGTCTCTTTCCGGGGGAGAAGGGTGATGGATCTCTTCGTTCATAGGACTTGTTTTATCTCATTCCCATGTGGGAATTGGGTTTTCGATGTGCACCTTCTGTGGTTTGTTCCAGGAAGATTTTATGCGATGAAGGGTTGTTGCATCAGCTGGAAAGATATCAGGTGGATGGGGCGGGAAATTTGGGACAAGGAAGAATTGTGTTCGAATCGGAAGGGGAGGAAAAGCGGAGACAAACGAACACGTGAGTGGTAAAATAAGGTGTGATGTAAGTCGAAAATAAGGTTGGTTGGGGAAGGTGTTTTGGGGATGAAGAGGGGAACTTAAATGTGGGGAGCTATACGAGTTGAATAACTGGAGCATTTTACTGTTTATTCATTTTAAGACAGTTTGAATTTTAGAATTAAAAACGTTCTCTTCTTATGCTTGATGTAATATTCTGCCGTCTCAAACAATGCTTCCGCAATGTTGTTTGCTTAGATAGACCAAAAGGCTTGTAACCGAATGAAATGATCTTTTGTTGTCTGTCAAATTGTTGGCACGTCTATAACGTCAATCGCGATTTATATTTCATCCATGTATGGTTAATTGATGATGAATATTTGATTGGCGAGTTTGTTGACGTCAACTTAAGAAAATACTCTGGAAAATTTCTTGATATAAAATCCCTCGCAGTTCTTCTCATCATCATCAGTTCATCCAACAGATTCGGCAAGTCAAAATGAAAACTATTTTCCTCATCAGGTTCAGGCTCAGGCCACGATCAATGTAACCATCAACACCGATGGATCATTGACCTTGGTGAGCAGCAGTGGAAACACTATTACCGTACCGTCGAACCCGATACTGTCCACGGTTATCGCTTACATTCAGAACCTGCTGGCTGGTGTGACCACTACCACTGTTGCTTCAGTGACGACGACTGCTGCTGCCCCGACTACAACTAGTGCCGTAACTTCGGCCGGTCCAACGACTGCTGCTCCAGCCACAACTGCTGCTCCAGCCACAACTGCTGCTCCAACAACAACCGTAGCCGCAACCACCGCTGCTCCAACAACAACCGTAGCCGCAACCACTGCTGCTCCTCCCAATGTTTCACAGGAGAGTCATGAGGGATTTGGTCCGGGATTCGGTGGATTCGGATTCGGTGGCCGTAGAATGCCCTTTTTCGGCTGAAAACACAATTCGGGTGCTGAATGTTATATCAAGTCTTCCCAATTTGCTTGTACAGTTTGATTCTATAAAAATATAATTTCTGCAGATCCTTAACTTGTTTCATGACCATTTGAAAGAATGCTACGACGAGTTCCGGATTTCTACAGTTGAAATTCACTAGTTGGGCTCAATAGAATTCGATTCGATTACACTACAACCTGTAATAAGGCTTAGAATGCTATAAAACCTCGATAAAACCTGCAATGTTACTTCCCTTCATCCTTTCTCATTTTGTGGAGATTTCTATGCTTGGTTTTATCAAAATTTGTTAGCTAAACACAGTTTTCAATATTTCACGACCAACTTCTAAAAAGGGCTTAACTTTTTGTTGTTATTAATTTAATTAATACAACCAAAAGACGTTTTCAGTTATAACAGTTACACATTTTACCGGAGGCATCGAGTTCGGAGTGCTTTTCGGCAACTACCAAACCGAGTTGGACGCAACACCAGCCAAACGAAAAGTATTATGGTCCCATAGAGTATTTTCTGAATATTTTTTGGAATCGATCAACCGGTTCCAGAAATATAGCCGGAACATGCTCCGGTTTATATGGGGCTAGTTTCGGACTATGGTCAAAAACCGTTGTTACTAGGGGGTCAGCTAGACCCTCTTACAATGCCCTCGATCCCTGGTTTAGCCACGGGGACCATTGAAGGTGGTCTCTCAAGGCCTCTTTTGATTGCTCCCGGCTCGAGCTTGAGGCCCTTTTGTGCTCAGGGTCGGCTTTTATCAAGAGAATCTGCTTAACAAGAGTCCTGTCACCAGATAAAAAGCTACACAACGCAAACTATGGTTAAACACATTTTTATTTTTTGACTTACAGCCCAGCATGGAAAATCATTCGCATTCATTTCGTGCATTCATTTACATTCATTTGCCTCTAACTTTTTTCTTCAACAGCATTCCGCAAAATGATGTATAGAGCTTTTGTAGGTTTTGTTATTAGCTACAATTTTTGTTTACAAATCAAATCCGTATCTCTTATGCATGACGAACCAGAGCGAACAGAAGCCACTACTGTTTTTCAGTGAATGTATTTTACATTCACTGAAAAACAGTAACAAGTTCTGCCCGCTCTAGTTCGTGATGCATAAGAGATACAGATTTGAGTTATGACCAAAACTTGTAGCTAATAACAAAACCTACAAAAGCTCTATACATCATTTTGCGGAATGCTGTTGATGAAAAAAGTTAGAGACAAATGAATGTAAATGAATGTATGAAATGAATGCAAATGATTTTCCATGCCTGCTTACAGCACATAACATATGTGGAACTTCATGCAAAATAACTGTTTGCCCCTTTTTTGTATTGCCTCAGGGGTATAACTGGTATAGTTGGCCATCGATCTGTCAAAATAAAAATTTCATGATATCGACACTGAGCGTTCACAAGGACCAATGTTGAAAACGTATACAATGGCTTCTTTCGTAAATTTCTCGTAGTTCAAAGTCAATCCATGTAAGCCACCAATTCTATCAGATAAGGGGACTCTTCTTCTACATAATCATCGTAGTGGTTTACTTGAGTTGTTTTTCATTCTCGAGAAATTTGCGGGAAAAGTAATTGTTTACGTTTGCGACATTGCACAGTGGTCCAGAATGCAGATTTAGGTGGAATGATATGTTTTGACCCTGAAATTGAAACTTTAGACTAAAAGTCTCTTCTACAAAGTTGTTCCTTATAGTTAGGCCCTCATTTTTATGACAATGGAGTCTAGGATGGTTCCTATTATCATTAAAATCAAAAATCTAACTGTTTTGTTTCAATAAATTAAGGTATACATTCTTCGGCAAAGTTATAGCTGAGCTGATTTCAAGCAACTTTGTTCAAAAATAACTTTTTTGTATCTCTTAAATTTGCCGATTTAGAGCTATTTTCTTGAATTGAGTTAGGGTGGCTCTTAAAAAACAGTTGTTTTGCTCTCGTTTTCTTATTTCGAATTTCTCAGCAAAGGTGTCTTCAGATAACTTTTAAATCTTAAGAAGGCGCAAATTTTTGCTGTCAATAGCTTTCGCCGATCAAGAGTTATTGACGTTTTTATACTAAAAATATGTACTTTTCAAATGTTAATATCTCTGGTTGGGGCAAACAAAAAAAAATTATACGGTATTTAAAAGGGCGTATGTTATTCTCAATAATATGAAAAAAAATGGAGGTATGTTTTTTTTTAAACTCGTATAAAATCAATTTGAATTTATTCATATTTTTTTACTATATTTGGGTATATCTTTTTTATTAGAAGAGATACAGGCAACAGATCTGTGTATAAAACATTCGTCTTAAAGAGTTTTAAAAGTCTCTAGGAGATGACTTTCATGATAAATTGTCTGCTTCTTTGTGCTGGCAGAAAACAGTTTAGAAATTTCATGACATTTTTGCCGCTTGCCAGTTTGTTTTTGTGTGTCGTCACAATGGTTATCGCAACAAGTATCAAATTTTATGGAAAAAATGGACTCGTGCCACCACTGCTTACAGCAACAGCAGAAAAAAGGTACGGGAACAGACCTTATGTTTGCCCGAGTTCAAGCTGCCGAATATTTGATTTATCACAAAGTTTAATTGTTAAGTCAAATATATTCAATCTAGTCATAAGTTCATTTGCGCGACGAAATAAGGACTACGATTGGAAACTCGGAACATGGAACTGCAAATCGCTCGGCTTCCCGGGTTGCGATAGGTTAATCTATGACGAACTTCAACCACGCAACTTCGAAGTCGTAGCACTGCAGGAACTTTGCTGGACGGGACAAAAGGTATGGAAAAGCGGGCATCGAGCGGCTACTTTCTACCAGAGCTGTGGCACCACCAACGAGCTGGGAACCGGCTTTGTAGTGCTGGGTAAGATGCGCCAACGCGTGATTGGTTGGCAGCCGATCAACGCGAGGATGTGCAAGTTGAGGATTAAGGGCCGTTTCTTCAACTACAGCATCATCAACGTGCACTGCCCACACGAAGGGAGACCCGACGACGAGAAAGAAGCGTTCTATGCGCAGCTGGAGCAGGTGTACGACGGCTGTTCGCAACGGGACGTCAAAATCGTCATCGGCGACATGAACGCTCAGGTAGGACGGGAGGCAATGTATAGACCGGCAATCGGGCCAAACAGCCTGCATGCCGTATCGAACGACAACGGCCAACGATGCGTGAACTTTGCAGCCTCCCGGGGTATGGTAGTTCGAAGTACCTTTTTCCCCCGCAAGGATATCCACAAAGCCACCTGGAGATCACCTGACCAACACACAGAAAACCAAATCGATCACGTTCTAATCGACGGGAAATTCTTCTCCGACATTATCAACGTCCGCACGTACCGCAGTGCGAACATAGATTCGGACCACTACCTAGTTGCAGTATGCATGCGCTCAAAACTCTCGACGGTGCATAACACACGTCGAAGTCGAACGCCACGACCCAACATTGAGCAACTACGGGACACCGGAGTTGCCCAGGACTACGCGCAGCAGCTGGAAGTTGCACTACCCACGGAAGAGCAGCTTGGCGCAGCTTCTCTTGAAGATGGCTGGAGGGACATCCGTTCAGCCATAGGTAGTACTGCTGTAGCGGCACTAGGTACTGCAATCCCGGACCGAAGAAATGACTGGTTTGACGGCGAATGCAAACTGTTAGTAGAGGAGAAGAATGCAGCACGGGCGAGAATGCTGCAACACCGCACGAGATTGAATGTGGAGCGATACAGACAAGCGCGGAACAGACAAAACTCGGTTTTCCGAAGGAAGAAGCGTCAGCAGGAAGATCGAGATCGCGAGGCGATGGAAAATCTGTACCGCGTAAACGACACACGGAAGTTCTACGAGAAGCTAAATAGTTCGCGCAAAGGCTACGTGCCGCAAGCCGATATGTGCAAGGACTTGGACGGTAACCTTCTCACGAACGAGTGTGAGGTGATTGAGAGGTGGAAGCAGTACTATGACGAGCACCTCAACGGTGAAGCAGCAGAAAACGAAGGTGGCACGGCAACAGACCTTGGAGCACGCGCAGAAGACGACAGGCTACCGGCCCCTGATCTTCAAGAAGTTGAGGAGGAGATCGGTCGGCTGAAGAACAACAAAGCAACTGGTGTAGATCAACTACCAAGTGAGCTATTGAAATACGGTGGTGAAGCACTGGCTAGAGCGCTGCACTGGGTAATTGCCAAGATTTGGGAGGAGGAGATATTACCGGAGGAGTGGATGGAAGGTGTCGTATGCCCAATCTACAAAAAGGGCGACAAGTTGGATTGCTGCAACTACCGCGCGATCACACTGCTGAGCGCCGCCTACAAGGTACTCTCCCAAATTCTATGCCGCCGTCTGTCACCATATGCAAGAGAGTTCGTGGGGCAATACCAGGCGGGATTCATGGGTGCCCGCGCTACCACGGACCAAATTTTCGCGATTCGGCAGGTTCTGCAGAAATGCCGCGAATACAACGTGCCCACACATCATTTGTTCATCGATTTCAAATCCGCATACGACACAATCGATCGAGATCAGCTATGGCAGATTATGCACGAGTACGGATTTCCGGATAAACTGACGCGATTGGTCAAGGCGACGATGGATCGAGTGACGTGCGTTGTTCGAGTATCGGGGACACTCTCGAGTCCCTTTGAATCTCGAAGGGGGTTACGGCAGGGTGATGGACTTTCGTGTCTGCTGTTCAACATCGCGTTAGAAGGTGTGATCAGAAGAGCTGGGATAGACACGAGTGGCACGATATTCAGGAAGTCCATCCAGCTCCTTGGTTTCGCCGATGACATTGACATTATGGCACGGAACTTTGAGATGATGGCGGAAACGTACATCAGACTGAAGGCTGAAGCTAGACGGATTGGACTTGCCATCAACGCATCAAAGACAAAATATATGAAAGCAAGAGGTTCTAGGGAAGACAATGTTAGCCTCCCACCCCGAGTTCAGATTGACGGTGACGAAATCGAGGTGGTCGATGAGTT